GAGTAGGTTCCCTAAAAATGCTTGTGTGAAGATAGTGATGGTGTGGATAATGAATTTCAGAGGGGAGCAGGAAAAGGGAGGTGAGTTTTATGAAATGGAAAAAATCAGAAAAGGCTTTGTGGAAGAAGTGGAGCTTCAGTGAAACATGAAGATAGGATAGAAATTTGGCCATTTAGAGAGCAGAAGGGAGGTTGGGGCTGGAAGGAACCAAGAGTGAAAAGCACCCTCCAGGTCACGTACTCCTGCCCTTACTCCCCGCACTTCTCACTGTCCTTCACATTCCTCAGAACTTTTTCCCAATCTTAACAGAGAGTTCAGGGCAAAAAAGTCAAATCCCATTTCCCAGGAGGGGATGGGAAGAGTCCAAAAGTGGAAGAGTTTTTTCTGGTGTTTGCAATTAATTTCAGTAAAAATTAACTTCCTATCTTAATATCCTGGAGTGTAATTATCATGTAACAACGTTTTGCATAATTGGAGAGTAACTACTTCCTCTAGTGCTATGACCTCCAAGCAGATCAGCTTAGCGACTTTAAAACCAGCTTCCAACAACCTCTCCACACCTTGCAATGCACCAACCTGCCTCTGGTGATGTGGCTGCTTAGGAAACACGCGCTTCTCCTGCTCCAAAGCACTGTGACACTAGGCCCTGCCACCAACATTTGCAGGCCAGAAACAAGAGTACAACTAAAGATCATGCTTAAACATTTTTAAAGTATAAATCAAGCTATTATATCATTAATTAAAAATCTCTTTCCTCTCGTCTTGAAAAATGGACCTGAAGTCTAGGTTTGAACATTTGGACTCCTAGAGTTCTTTGTGGGAGCCTGGCCATCCAGGACAATGCAGCCTCCACCTCCCAGCCTGGCCCACTTTCCTTCCCACCCCTTCTGCCTCTGCCCCCTATCAGAGAGGTCTTACATATGTGACACCCAAATTTCTGCATCCATATTCTTCCCACTTCCCCATATGCAGATGCCCCGTCACCTCAAGTAATGTGAGTCATACTGTCCTCCCTTAGGGAAGCTGGTCCAATTGGAGAGGCTCACACACACCCCAGAAGAAGCTCTAAGAAATGCCAGAGTCCCACACATAACAGCTTGATGAGAGGGAGGGGTCACCTTTGGACACACCTTCTGTGACCCACAGACTTCTCAGGCTATGGGGACAGGCCTGGTCATAGGTCTAAGTGGGGTTCCTATATTACAAGGCCCAGGACAGGGACCCTCTTGCCTGATCACTGCACCCAAGCATTATAGTTGTTGATATAATAAGGATAAAGCTGACAGCACTAAAACCCTCTCCTTACATAATATGGTACCAATTACAGTATTATACAGTCTTGCTGTTTCCTGATTTACATTGTTCCTAACTCAGTTGCAGGCCCGATTCTTTTGTGTTTCTCCTGGCACCTGTGGTATGATGGATGGAGGAACTCACACATTGACTGACATGCCCATTATTCTCTCAAACTATCTGCCATACAGCCGGAATTGTGGCAGTTTTCAGTTGACTTTCTGAAGATGACCCTCCCCTGACTCCTGATTAATTCATCCACTTGTATACCATCTTCCCTATTTTCTTCTCTAGCCCCATCCAGTGTTATCTTCCTCCCAACTTTCCCCCACCCCAGGCACTACAGTTCAAAGAGTATTTCTCCTGCTTGTGGGAGTCTGTCTGCTAATAGAGTAATGATTATACTAACAACAGTAATACTTGAGCACATTCTTTTTAACTTTTCTAAGGCTTTCACTCTGGCTCCTTCTATATATCCTCATAACAGCCCTAGTTAGTAGGGAATGCATTTGTTTGCCCTGTCTGGAAGGCTGAAAGGAGAAAACACTAAAGAAGGCTCACAAGATCGGTGTATAGAAGAGCTGGAATTGAAGCTCTGGTCTTCTGATCCCTACAGTTAAGTGACCCCTAAAAAACAAAGTTCCAGATCCATGTACCACATCAGCTTCTTGCACCAGCTAATACTGTTTTTATATGGTAGGCAGCTCAAAGGTTGCCAAAGTCCTAAGTTAGAAAGACTATAAAATCTAACTATAACTGGCCCAATGGATCAGTGATTGTACAAATATCAAGAATTCCAATGAACAGTTATTTCCAAGCATACAAATGAAGCTGGGTGCTCAAAGGCAGAGATGGCAGTCGTCTAGTTGATTGTGTTTTCATTCATCTGTTCTGTGTGTGTCCAGACTTTTGGAGGTCCTTTTCCACAGGATGGAGTGACTGAGCACTTTTTTTTTCCTCAACACATTTCAAAGAGACATTCAGTGCTCCAGCCATTTGAAATGTAAATCATACTCATAAATATTTATACCAACTTAATTAGAAAGTTCTAATTGCATTTCGATTTCTAATTTCAGTAAAAATTAGCTTCATCCCTGCCTTAATATCCTGAAGTATAATGTATAGGTAACAACTTTTTGCAAGATTAGAGAGTTACTCCTATGTCCAATGCTATGACTTGTGACGGAGCAGCCTTATGACTTCAAAATCAGCTTCCACCTACCTTCTCTGTATTAAGTGATGCACCAAGCTGCCCTAAGTGCCATATTGCATGGGACATGTAGGTCTTCCACCCAATGTCTGTTTTCCCTCCCGATAACACCAACACCACTGTGGGATCTGTCTTCCAGATAGTTTCTGCAATTGAGTTTTGCTCCTGAAGAAGAATATCTGAGAGAATGGATGGAAATGACTCACTCTAGATAAAAGATATTAGATCCACATTTTGGACTTTTTCTGACATATAAATGTATCACATCTGAACACAAAGGGTAAGGTGGGAGAGCCATCCAAAGAAGAAGTAAATATGGAACAAGTGACATCACAGAGACAGAATATCACAAGCTATTTTTGGCAACAAGTTTTGTCCACAGCAATCAGATATACCACTGGGTACCACTGGCTTAGGGGTGCACTGAGAAGGGAAACAGGGAGACAGGCTAGAAAGGTTAGGGCCAGCAGTAAGGAACAGGAAGGATAGCACAGGCAAAGGATCTGATTCCAGTGCCAAGTTTACCACTTGAACTTTAACAAACAGGTGAACCAGTCTGGAGAAGAGAAATCTGGCAAGAATAGGGGAGCTGGGCTGTAAAGGAGAGCTTGGCCACAAAGAGACATGCTAAGTAGATTTACTATAGTGGCCAATTCAGATAGGACAATAACACTGCAGCAGCAGCCATGCATTGCAAAGGAAAGGGTTGCATATGAAAGACAGAGTAAAAAGCTTCTACATAGAAGAGGAATGGAACTGACTTTGAGATGCTCCTGAGAATAAAATTAAGGACAGACAAATGAAAGGGACCCGAAGGCGTGTCATGTGCCTTCCATGCAAAAACAACATCAGGACTGATTCCTCCTGGGAAGTTAGGTATGGGCTGCCTTGTGAGATGGTGAGCTTCCTTACACTGGTAGGACCTCAAGCACAAACAGGATTTTGATGTCTTGATGTGTTTGCCAGAGAACTAGTGGGTGTATGATTCAACCTCAGTGTTCATTCCATATAAATTTTAAAATTATTTGGTCACATTTTCCATGTATAATTCTGAGAATCTTCAAGATTTGTAACTAAATAGATGATGGATGGAGGAAGGAGAACTAAGGGGTCAAAGAGCTCTCTTTGAGCAAAGGCAAGTCATAGTGGTAAGAATTTTGTTCACAGTGTATTCACCAGAAAAGGAACAAAAGGAACCAAAAATATGGTTTGAAAACCACTTGGATTACTATTTGCTGTTCTCAGATGCAAAGAAAATCCTTAGTTCCCATGAAAGGCCCTACTAGGCCATAGTTTCATCTCTGTGCTTCGTCTCTGGCTCGAGGATGTCTGGAATGGCATGGGTGAAGATGGAGAAAATAACAGAACTAAACTCATGCTCTTTTGAATGACTTTATGTTTTTGTCAAGTTCTTGTCATATGCCAAGTACTGTGCTATGCACTTTATTTTTTTAGTAGTGGCAAAGTCTATTTGAAAGAGTAAAAATGAATGGTGAAAGAGAAACTGGCTCTGCAGAGCAACCTTGGGTCAAGTGAAAAAGGAAAAAGCAAGATAAAAGAACACCCTGGAGAAAGCAGAGTGGGCTATATGAGGAAAGCCATGATAGCTTTTCTTGGTGTCTGTATCCTTTTATACTGTTAAAATCTTGAGGAACCCCAAGAAAATTTCTACATATGAGTCCTGGGATTTCACACTGTAGTGGGTTGACATTTGGTGGTCAACTTAACACCCAGCTGAACTGAGTAAGCCTGGTGCTGGGTGTGGGAGGCCCACCTGAGGATTGTTGCTAGCAGCATAAGAGGCAGAAATGGAGAAGAACAGAGGCTGTCAGGAACTGAGAGAAGGTGTTGGGTGCTGTTAGAAGCTGTAAAGAGCTGTTATTTCTCCTGGAGGAGGTTGTCATTCTCCCTTTCCTGATGAACTCGGCTGTTCTTATCCAAGGAGCTCAAAAGGACCTTGTTGGCACTGAGAAAGGCTTCAGTTCACTTCAAGGGAGCTCTGGTCCTCACTTTGAGCATTGCTTCCTGCCTCCAGAGGGGAAGATGGTGCACTGCTCAGTCTCCTGGAGAAGCTTGTCATGTTGGCTTTCCTGATGGGAACTCAGCTTTCCTGATGGGAACTTGGCTTTCCTCATCATCAGAGGAGCTTGGGACCTCACTGTTGCTGAGAATGGCTGTGGTACTTTTTGGGGAGTTCTGGCTCTTGTTGAGTATCACTTCCTGGCTCCAGAGTAAATCCCTCAGCCTGCTAGCACAGATCCTTCATCCTGCTGGCACAGGTTCCACCACTGACCTTTGGCCCTTCCCAGTGCAGATCTGTGAAACAGGCCTGCATGTGATGTTGTCATGGGCTCTACCCCTTGGCTGGACTCAAGGGAGGCATTGTTATGGGCTCTAGGTCTTCAGCTGAACTCATACAGGGCTTTACCATGTGATCTAGGCCCTCAGCTGGATTATTTGGTCTTTAGTGTGTGAACAGATTTTCTGTACTCTTTTGTATATGATTCTTTGGGTGAGTATTATAAATAATCTTATAAAATATGTGACCTGTATTATATTGTTCCCCTTACAAAACTCTAAACTACAATACACATCTCAGGCTGGTGTCAGGTCTAGGCCATCTTATTGAAAATCTGCTTGAGTTCTTATAAGAAGTCCACATTCAGGGATTTGGGACCTTTTCTGCTCATGTGTTGTGGGATATTGACAGGTCACACCTCCCCAGCCAGCTTTGCCACACCCTAATCTCCTATGTCATTTCTCAAGAGACACAAGTCCCCATAATTCTTTATGGGGTGCTGAGGGAGTAGAAGTCTTCTATAGTTTCTTCAAGCTGAAAGGGGCTGTAGGTCTGACCATCTGGGGATTATGTGCTCTCCAACTATCTGGGGGTGCTGTGGCTCATTGGTGCTGTATTGAAGAATGAAAAACCTGTCAGAAAACAATAAGGAAAGAGTTAATGACCGTTGACCTTCACTATTAGCCCAAATAAGAGGAGTAAGTCAGATTTCCATGTTTCCTTGTAGCAACACTAGTGTCTTGCTTTTTGAAAAGAAATCTTAAGGGTTCCAGAGGTTCACAGGAATTGCTTTCTTCTTTTGGGTGGTGTATGTTCTTTAGACAGCTCAGATGGGACTGGCTTTATTCTACAAAGATGAACCCAATTATTTATCTCTACCACCTTTACTGTATAATAGGTGTGGCAGGGATTACTGAGAAGGAACCCTTCCATTTGGGTTTTAATTGATCAACAGGTGTCCCCTCATTCCAAATTTTTATAAGCACTTTGTCTCCAACACAGACAGTAGGTGGTCCTTTTTGGCCAGGAGCTGGTAGGAGTCTGTTTCCATACATTTGGATGCCTTGTTGTACATAGCCCAGACTAATGAGATCTTATAGGAGCCTCGTGGTCTCTGGGTCTCCTGTCACATCAGAAGATAAAAATGGCCTCCCATACAACATCTCAAATGGGCTCAAACTTAGCCCAGTTTGGGGCATGTTACAAACCCTCATGAGTGCTATTGGCTCAGTTGGAGCAAGATTCAGATGTCTCTTGCAAAGTTTTTCCAAAACTCCCTTTAGAGTCTGGTTGGCTCTCTCTACCTTCCCAGAAATTGAGGCTGCTGGGAGGAGTGGAGGTGTTACTTTATTACTAAAGCATTTGCCACCCTCTGAGTTATTTGGGAGGTAAAAGAAGGTCTGTTGTCACTTTGGAGGGACTAAGGTAGTCCAGAGCTAGGGATAACTTCTTTAAGAAGCACCTAGACTACCTCAGGATTTTCTGAGCCTTTTCTGACAGGTAGGATAAGCTTCAGTCCATCCTGTGAAGGTGTCAATTAGGACCAACTTCTGTTTAAATTCTCTACATGGTGGCCCATGAGTAAAGTCCAGTTGCCAGTCCTCTCCAAGTTTTTTGCCTGTCCTTTGTACAGGTTCTAATGAAGGAAGTGGTTTGGGCTTACCTGGGTTATTGTAAGCACAGAGTGGACAAGCTTTGCAGACCTGTTAGATAGTTGCCACTAGTCAAGGCCTGTGAAATTTTGACCATTTTCTGTGTTGCACCTCTTTCCCTATGGAAGGAATTGTGAAGTGTTTTATGGCCCTCCACTGTGTCCCTTGAGGAAGGACCAGTTTGATTTCTAAGTACCACTAGAGTCCTTTTTTAATTCCCCCTTGTCCTGAGACTCATTTATTTTCCTGGGGAGTATAGTGTGGTTTAAATGGTTCCTCAAGGACTAGGAATAAGGCTACCATCTTAAGGAGCTGTAAGGCTGACCTTTTTCCTTCTCTATCTTTTTGCTTCCCTTTTGACTTCCCATGGAGACTTCAGACATGTCTGTTTAGCGCCCTTTCCAATGTATGTCTGCAATCTGCTTAAGAAGATAGACTGCCTGAGAAGTTGTAGAGTTTCTTACCTATGCTTGATAGATGACAGTTTAGTCAGTAAGCCTCTTTCCTTCCAGATTTCTGCATGGGCATGTAGTATCAGAAGGGCATATTTAGAGTATGTATACATATTTAACCTTCTTCCTTTTCCTAACAAAAATGCCTGAGTAAGAGGTATTAGCTCTGCCTTTTGAGCAGAAGTTCCTGGAAGAAGTCTAGCTTCAATGATCTATCATGAACTGACAACTGCATAATCTGCCTTTTGATGTCCTGGGACAAAGCTACTTCCATCACTAAACCATACCTCTTCAGGGTCTTGGAGGAGCAGATCACTGATGTCCTGCCTACTTGCATAGGTCCAGGAAATGACTTACTCACAAGAGTGGCTAACTGCTGGGACTGTAGGCATCAAAGAAGCAGGGTTAATAGGAGTGCAAGTTTTTATAATAATCTCAGGGGTGTCTAATAGCATGGCCTGATACTTAGTGAGCTGTTCCTGTTAACCACAAGTAACTTTTTATCTCCAGAGTAGCTCTGATGTAATGGGAAGTCAGTCTCTGCCCCAGAGTTATCTTTCCAGCTTCCTCTGTTAGTACAGCTATAGCTGCTACTGCTCTCCAGCAGTATGGCCACCCAGCAGCCACTCCATATAGCTTTTTGAAAAGTATGCCACTGGGCAGGGTTGATGTCCTATCCTTTGGGTCAAGACCCCCACAGCACTTCTTCTCTTTTCTGATACATAGAAAAAGAAAGATTTTTCTTAAGTCAGGTATTCCCAGAGCTGGAACCTGAGTAAGGGAATGGTTTATTTCCTTATAGGTATTGTCAGTTACTTTTGTCCAGTACAGGGATTGGAGGTCTTTGACAGCCTCATACAAAGGCCTTGCCACCGATCCACAGTTAGGTAACCAGATACTATAAAAGCTGACCATCAACTGGGAGGGGTAAAGCTGTCATTTGGTGGCAAAGGGCCCAAGATCACAGCCTGGATCCAGTCCCTAGACAGCTGTCATTTCTCAGATGTTGAGCTGTTTGGAGAGATATCTGAGCCTTTTCTTCAGAGACTTTATATCCCTTTTTAGCTAGAAAGTTGAGAATCTGTACAGTGTTATACTTAGATAATTTCTGAGTGGGGCTGCAAGCTAGGATATCATCTACATAATGTAGAATGGCTCCCTGTTTAAGCTTTAAATTCCTCAAGTCTTTCTCCAGTGCCTGAACATACAAGTCTCTAAGCCCCTGTGGGAGAACTTTCCACGTATATTGCTACTTTTCTCTTGAAATGGGATATTTCCATTTAAAATCAAACAAATATTGAGAGTCTTGTTGTAGGAAGATTCAGAAAAATATGTCTTTTAAATCTAAGTCTGAGAAGCAATTAGTACCCCCTGGAATTTGGGAGAGAATTGTGTATGGACCTGCTACTAGAAGATGGATTGGAATGACAGCCTTGTTAAAGAGGTGGAGGTCTTGTACCATCCAATATTTTCCTGAGGCCTTAGGGCAGGGAGAATGGGAGCATTTCCAGGGAACTGACAAAGCTTCAGAAGGTCATATCTGAGATACTTGTCTATAAGAGGTCCAAAATCTGTTTTGGCCTTAGCCAGAATTTGAAAATTGCCCCCCAATTTTGCTAGTAAATCTCTTCCTAGCAAGGAAGTAGGACACTGTGGGATAATTAGAAATGCATGGTTAAACATTTGGTCCTCAAAGTGACACATCATAGGAGGAATAAAGAATGTCTGACTAGGGATCCCCTAAACCCCAACTATGGCTATAGACTTAGAGGAGAGTTTTCCAGAGAAGGAAATCAAAACGGAATGAGCCACCCTGGTATAAATAAGCAGTTAAATTGGCTCACACATGACATCTAAGATCACCCAGAGTTCCTCAGAGGAGATGGTGATGTATGTGGATGGGGCATTGCAGGTTCCCCTGGGCCTCTTCAATCTCCAGAGAAGGAAATGAGGGTTCTGGCTGGCCTATCCCCTCTCTGGGAGTGGAGACAGTCAGCCTTCTAATACCATGAATCAGGCACATTAGCTGCCTCGCAATTAGAGCTAGTCCCAGGCACAGGCTTGGTGCGATCTCCTGCCCAATGTCCAATCCTCTTGCACTTGAAACAGGAACCCCTTCCCTGGCTATCCCTGGATTTTTCCTTAGATGACCTGGGTGGATTTAAAGCATCACCATTTGCAACAGTCATAAGCCTAGCCTTTCTCTTCTATCTCTCCTCCAGATCCCAATTCTTAAACACAGAAAAGGCCATGACTAGCAATTGGGCCATAGGTGTCTGTGGGCCCATCTGAAGTTTTTGTATAGTCTATGCCAAATATCTGGGCAGATAAAATGATGTCCCACTGGTGTATCTCCCTCCCTGGAAGATGGATCTGTAGTAGTATACTTATGAAAGAATCAACATATTTCCTCACTTCCATGATAAGAGTAGCCTGTCAAACGTCATTCCTTAGTCCTCCACTAATGTGACAGTCCCAATTTGGTTCCACTGAAGGGCAAATAACCTTTCCAGGGTGGTTTCTGTCCCTTTTTAAAACACATTGTTCATTTGCAAAGTTCCTAGCCTCTTGTACATCTATAACTGAAAAGGGGACTTGTATTCTGAGCTCCTTGATGGCTCAGCTGGTATTTTGAGTCTCTTGATGGCTTTACTTAACCAGAATGGAACCAACTGGGAAAACTGTCTCTTGTATTTACTGGTAAGTAGAAAAAAGGCTAAGAATAAGAATAGCTCCGCCTTCATATACTTAATCTCTTTAATTAAATTTTAAATGCTATCTATTTGTTCTGCTCAGATCATCAGGCATAGAGTTTTAAATTATCTGCACTTATACAAGAAAGAAAGTTATAGCCCCAGATGGGATTTAAAACAGGGAAGAAGCCAGTCAGCTAAAGCCAGCTTATACAAGCCCTCCCAGCCATTGTCTTACCTTGGCAAAATCCTTGAGCATTTCCTTTTAAATGGATACATTTTTTTTTTCTCTTCCATGTGGAGAAAAGCCACTGTGCTGGTTAAATAATTAGAAATGAAATGAGGTTCCTCCCTTTTGTTCTCCAAAATCAGAGGCTTAGCTTATAGGGCTAGTTAGAAGGAAGAAAGGAAGAAAGGAAGAAAGGAAGAAAGGAAGAAAGGAAGAAAGAAAGAAAGAAAGAAAGAAAGAAAGAAAGAAAAGAAAGAAAGAAAGAAAGAAAGAAAGAAAGAAAGAAAGAAAGAAAGAAAGAAAGAAAAAGAAAAAAGGCAGTTGACATAAGCTCATATTTAGCTGCACCATTCCAGGCAAACTCTAAGCCTATTTATTGATGCTATGCACACCCAGGGTAGGGCACCCTTAGTCTTCCATATCATTCTTAATTCCAGCATTACATAAGCTGAGAAAGAAACATGTAGGGTGGGGCACCCTAATCCTAGCATCACACCAAAACACAAACAGGAAAAAAAAGCCATTCACAAAACTCGGGTAAGCACAGACTAGGTGAACTTTCCAAAAAAGGTAGCAAACACCATACAAATGGAGAAAGAAAAGCCACTTACAAAACTGGGGTACATGGAGACAAGATTAAATTCCAAAAAGAGTAGCACAGTAAAAAAGAACAAATGCACAGACACCAAGGACCCCCGGAGGGAGTGCAAGCAGCTAGAAAGGAAAACAAAAGCCTATATTCCTTTCCCCTATCCACAAGGATGGGCCAGGAAGCCCTTCCCTGGTTCCTTGAGAAGAGTCCCCACAGGTCCCAGCTTAGGAGAGAGAGTAAGGGAATGAAGGAAAGAAGAAAAAGTCCTTCACAGAGAGAAACAAAAATTGTGCCCAACATGGGCCTTACCTGGATCTCTGGTACCTGAGCTTTACTCCCGGCTGGCTGCACCAAAATGTTATCAGAATCTCCTGGCTTTTGATTCTCCTGACTGGCTATGCCAAAATATTTTTGGGTAGCTCCTTGTCAAAGTGGCTCACCAAATAAATGTTATCGGGTTCTGGGTTGTTCCCCTCTCCTTCTGAAGTTAGATTCCAGGTTCTTCTTGTCTCAAATAACAAATTGAATGAAACAAGCAAAAAAGCAGTAGTACAGTTTATTTGAAAATGTAAAAGTGAAGAGTAAGAGAGAAACTGGTTCTGCAGAGTGAGCTGGGGCCAAGTAAGAGGGAGCAAGTGCAAGATAAAATAAACCCTGAAGAAAGCAAGGTGGGCTATCGTAAGGGAAGCCATGATAGCCTATGCTACTCAATTTAAATAATAACATCTGATCCTTTCAATCTGCCATGCCGGTGTTATAATGTAATCTCTACGGAGAGATAAACCGAGATTCACAGAGTATTGTGATTTAAATACAAAGTGTCCCCCAAATGCTCACATACTGTGGACTGGATCCCTAAAGCAGTGATGTTCAGAGGTGAAGCCTAGAAAGGTAACTGGATCACGTGGGCATTGTTTTTATCCACAGATAAAGCACAGTGAGCCTAATATGTACTTGGTGTTAGCTTACTTCCTTCTTCATGCTGATTTTAAAAAGTCACAATACTCTCTGTAAGGTAAATAAGCAGCAAAGACCACCAGGCTAGGGCAAAGGCAACATGGCATGGAATTTACTGTGTCTGGGTTGAGGCAGAGAGCACCCACCATAAGACCTCCTGCCCCAAATAAAGAGAGCCCTATAAAAGTATAGGGTTGGAGAGAGGGCACGGGACATTAGGTGGGAAGATCCCAATGAGCATCTCTGGTTAAAGTTTTCTGGCAATCTTGCATCGTGGGGAGCAGAGTCCTTTGATGTGTCCCTTGTAAATTTTGGGGTGTCTCCAGATGTCCCCAGGACCTGCAAATTTTCTTATCCTATCTTACCTCCTTTCCTGTGCTTGCGGATGACAGCTTCAGTGCTGAGCTGCGTCCCCTGCAGAGAGTAATGCTTCTGCTGGCAAGCAGGCTGAGGGCTGGGAGAGTCAGGCCAGATTGGAGACTTACACCCTCCTCTTGGGGACAGGCATATGCTTCCTCCTAATTCATAGATCCCACCTGTGGAGTAGGGTATACCTGTCTTTCCGGTTCTCTGAATCTGGTGCCAGGAAGCCCTGGAATCAGCCACCTGAAACCTCAGTGCCAAATCTTATCATGTGATTGGCAGCCAGTTGATCTGGCCAGCACCAACAACCTACATGCTTAATAGTCATATTTCTCCCTTAAAATGGTTTACAAGTCAGATAGTCAAGAGTATGGTTAAGGGGTCGGTGCCTCCGAGACTGCATAATGACAAACGAATTTCCTGGGATCATAAACTGGCACCAGCCCCTCGAGAAAACTTCTCCAGCTAAATACCCTTTCGGGAGACCTCTTGGAAGCCTACCAGCCAGACTTCCCCGGAGGCACATCTGTGCCATACAGACATTCATTTTCTTTCAAACTGTGACAAAGGTTACTAGTGTATCTGTCTCTAAGGAGTAATTTGGATAAGTACCTAAACCAGACACCATTGGGACTTCAACTGTTTCACATCCATAAATTTAGGTCTCTTCTTAGAACACTTTTTCTTCACATGTGGTGGACATTGCCTGCCTCATAACCACTTAAAATTCATGTTCCCTGGTCCTGCATCAGAATGGAAGTAGGCCCAGGAATAACATTTCTTCAACATGCCCATGGTGATTCTTCTACATATTCTGTTTGAGACTAACTGCCATGGAGAGGGCAAATTGATTTCCCTTTGGTGGAAAAAAAAAATCCTTATCTTTCTCCTTCCAGACCCAGGAGGCTGCCAACTTTTTTATCTTTAAAAAACTTTTTGTTCTTCCTCTCAAGATGGTGTCAAAACAGTACTTCATTGCAAGATTATACTCAGAAAGTCTGGAATGAACCGGGATCATCTTACATAGGCTCAGTGCAGCAGTAAAGATTCTGCTGCAAAATACTAGATGGCTTGACCAATAAACATTTATTTATTATACTTCTAAAAGCCTAGAGAGTCCAAGATCCAAGTGCCAGGCAGTATGGCTCCTGATGAGGGCCTTTGTCCTGGTGTGCATTAGTGCCTTCTTGCTTTGTACTTACATGGTGGAAAGCAGGGATAAAACAAAGTCTCTGGTGTTTCTTCTTACAAGGGCACTAATCCCAGCATGATGGTTCCACCCTCCTGACCTAATTACTTGCCCATCTCCCAATGCACTGAGGGTTAGAGTTTCAGCATAAGGAGACACAATATGTAGTCTGTAGCAGGGGTCTTCTGGAGAGACATATTGAAGAGCAGAAATGTCTTGAAGTTGGACTCTTGTTAGTTCACTTACCACTCCTGATTTTCTAGGATAAGAGAGAAGAAAAAGCAAGGAATCATTGTCTCCATCCATCTATCCACTGTTCCACTAGGCAGAAGCTGGTACCCTCAGGACGCGCTTTGCACAAATTCAACAGAATGTGAGAACCACCTATGTGCTTGGCTAAGCCACGGCGGGGTGAAGTGAATGACGATCACATTGTGGGAAGATATGTGATCTGACAGACATGTGGGCATTAAAGAGTCTCTTACCTCTTTAAAGCTTTATTTCCTCCCCTAACCTATAGTATCCTGGGGTAATCATTTCCATGGTATAAAAGCAAAATAGTAGGATGGACAAAGAAATAAATATCTAAATTAAAATCTCAGCTTAAACCATATGCTAGCCCTGCGACATCAGCCAAGAAACATCTCTGACCCTCAAATTTAATTACAAAATAGTGGTGATGCAACCTCATCTTGAGAGAAGTGATGTGGGCATTAGAAAGTGTCATGGATGATTAGCTTTGTGGTGAAGTTAGTGCCACATCAAGGGTAGCTCAATAAATGTCTTCATCACAGGATTTTCTACACCCTCTGTGACCTCATCTTTCCTACTTTCTATTACCACCCCTTTCACTACTGGATCTCCAAGAAATGCTAGCAAAAATCAGGAAACCATATGAATTGTGGCTGTGTTAATTCATGCTACTTAGCAATCCTTCAGCACTTCTCTTTCTGATGCCATCAACTGCCTCCCAAGGGCTAGTCTCTAGTCTCTAATTCTAGTTGACGTGATTCATGTCAACTTCACTCAAAAACACATACGGGGCCTTTTCTTTTATCCCTCCCTCTCTCTCTTCCCCTCTGCCTTTGATCCCTTTTCCTCCTGAGCTACTTCTAGGGGACTCAGGATTTCTAACATCTTTCTCATGTTACCATTAATTCCTTATCTTTTACCCATAAATCCACTCCATGCTCCCTCTAGACCACTCAGGGGTCTCCTGGCTGTCACTCCGACCCTCCTTCCCAGCACACACATCTACCCTGCACTTGCTGCATCTTTTTCCATGACATAACTCTAGTTCCTGCTATCTGGCATTTGTCCTCATCCAATACTGAAATTGTTAATGAGTAACCTCATCATTGTCAAACTCAATCCGTTCTCTGTTTTCTCTTCCAGTGCGGAGAAAGCAAGGGAGGGAGGGCAGCAGGAAACACTGATGGAGCAGCCACCCATTGTGAGCACGAATCCAGGCACTCATTAAATAGTAAGAATTCAAGTAGAAGATTATATTATGGAGAACTTTAAGTGCCCTGCTAAGGAGTGTGTGCTTAATTTGGCAGGCAATATTGGAAGCCCAAACAGGGAGGTCATTTGTATCGGTGATCAGAGCTGGGCTTTGGAAAATTGAATCTGTGGTTGGAAATGTAAGGAGTGGAGAGGAATGAAGTCTGTGGTCTCTGCTTTCAAGGAGCTTGCAGATCATTTGGAAGATAAGACTAATCACAGCATCAAGGAATCTAAAACTGAACAGATTTAAGTCAGAGGAGTAGGAGGGATTATGAGTTTCAGATTGGTCCAGAGCAGCTCCCAGCAGCACAACCTGGGCCTTGAAGAAGGACATGATAGGGGTTGATGCCAAAGAAAGGCAAGCTTTTCCATGGCACAGGTAAAGCCAGTGAAGGCCCAGAGTCCGCTGGAGCTAGCACAGCCCATGTTGCTTCCCTCACTCTGGCCATAACCCAAGCCCTTCCCTCTGCAGTTTTAAACTAGTGGATTTAGGTTCTCTCTTAGATCAAAGGTTGACAAATTCTATCCGAGAAGGTTAAATAGTGAGTAATTTAGTTTTTGCACCCCTTGCAGTCTTGTTCGCTACTACCCCACTCAGCCACTGGAAGCAAGCATACAGATTTCTCTGTGCTGGAACACAGAAAACACTTCCATGAATGGAAATGGTTGTATTCCAAGGGAACTTTATTTATGGACATTGAAATTTGAATTTCATACAATGTTCACATGCCATAAAGTAATATTTTATCTTTTCTCCTGATCATTTAAAAGTGTGAAAAACATTCTTTAGTCATGAACCATATAAAATCAGCCGGTAAACTCCCTCTGCCTGTGAGCAGTAGTTAGCCCCATGGTTTGGAGGGCCCGGGTGCATATCTGATCTTGGCTGCTCATCAGATGTTTAGCTAAGCTCAGACTTGCCTCTTTGTGCCTCAGCTTCCTCACCTGCAAAGTGGAGATAAGGATATAGCAGCATCGGTCTTCTCTGATTGTTAGGAGGATTAAGTGACTATGAAATCTCCAACCTGTAAAATTGGCCCAGAGACATGGAGAAACGTCAGAGTGCAGGAAATTAATGTGTGTTTTAGAGAAATCTGAGGCTTGTTGCCATGAGCCATGGGGTCTCTAGTTCAAGGTCTGCTGTGTGGCCTTTGGAGGTCAGTTCCTCAATTTCCTCTTATGTAAAATAAAAATGATTTTACTCACCCTGAAGAATAGATGCAAGGGGAAATGGCATAATAATTATGATTGCTTTGGGGGAACTCTATGAGGCTCTATATCACATAACACTAAGTGGCAGCTTCTCGTGCCATTCTGCAAGAAAACAGACCGGAATTTCTAGAAAGAAACACACACACACACACACACACACACACACACACACACACACGGACATACATAAACAGGGACATGCACACACACAATGTTGGGAGTGTGTCAAAGGGACACAGAAGGCAGTTCAAAGAGTTCCAAATGGCCAAAGTTGAAATAATTAAAGAAAAAATAATCAGGTAGATTGGATTAAAAAGTACATAACAAATATTCATGAGTCCACACTGGTATAAAAAATTAAAGACACAAATGAGAGATAATAGACCAATCTTCTATGCAGAATAAATTCATAGAAATCACCCATGTTCAAGGAGGATAACTAACTCCATGTTAGTCAGCTTTCTGTTGCTGTGACAAATACCTGAGAAAAAAACAACTTAAAAGGAAAAAAAGCTTTATTTTAGCTCACGGTTGCTGAGTTTTTTCCCCATGGTTACTTGGCAACATTACTTCTGGACCACAGCAAGGCAAAACATCATGGCAGGGGACATGCGAGGAAGAGCAGCTCACCTCATGGGAGGCAAGGGATAGAAAACGAAAGGAAGACACAGGGAGAAAGGGACTAAAAACAAAATATACCTTTCCAAGTCACACCCCAGTGACCTATTGCTGCCAGTGAGGCCCCACCTCTTCAGGTTTTCCAGTGGATTAATCACTGATGATGGCAGAACCTCCAGAATCCAACCACTTCCCAGAAGCCCCACCTCTGACCACTGCTGCACTGGGATTACACCTTCACACTCGAGCCGTTGGGGAGACATTCCACACCCAAACCCTGCCATCCCCACTCCTATGTGGAGGCTGCACATAGTAAGTTCCATCCACAGAGTACAATTTGGAAAAGGAGAGGAAAGGGTTATCTTTACAGTGGAAAAAGCTGACAACACCCTCTCAGTCTAGATACCAACGTCAAAAGCAACAACGATAAATCCTGATAGCCCATATTCCGGATATGATGTCATGAGAATGGCACTTAACTGTGTGTTTTTTCTCCCCAAAATGCACAATTCAATTCTAATCATCAGAAATATGGATAGATCCCAGCTGAGGGATACGCTACAAAATACCTGACCAGTACTCTTCAAAATTGGCAAGGTCATCAAAAACAAAGAAAGTCTGAAAAGCTATCAAAGCCCAGAAGAGCCTAAGAAAATTCAGCAAGTATATGCAATGTGGGGTCATGAAATGAAAGAAAGATATTAAGAAAAAACCAAAGGCATCTGAGGTCAGGGCTGTACTGTAGAGATTTTAGTTAATAACAACAGATTGATGTTGGTTCGTTAATTGTGACAGAGGTACTGTACTAATAACATGCTAATAATGAGAAAAACCGGCTGTGCAAAATATAGGTACTCTCTACTATCTTTACAGCTTTTCTGTAAATCTAAAACTCTTCTAAACTATTTTAATGGCATAATTCTTATAGAAATTAACGGGGCACAGTGTGCTCCTTCAGTACATGTATACATCATGTAATGATCAAATCAGGATAATTAATAGGTCCATCCCCTCAAATACTTATCCTTTCTTTGCAGTAAAGCATTCCAAATCTCCTAGCTCTTCTGACATATACAGTACTTTATTGACAACAGTCTCCCTGCCAAACACCGCAACTTGTCCCTCCTATTTAATTTTGTACCTATTTACAAACCTGTCTCTATCTCCCCCTCACCCTTCTATGAGATTGACCTTTCTAGACTCCACATGTGTGAGATTATGCAGTATTTATCTTCCTGCACTTGGTGTATTTCACTTAACTTGATGTCTTCCAGATTCATGCACCTCACAAAGGATAATATTTCATCTGCTTATTGTTGAATAATATTCTGTTGTGCATGTGTAACACATTTGCTTTATCCATTCATCAGTGATGGGCACTTAGGTTGATTCCATATCTTTGCTATTATGAATAATGCTGCAATAAACACATGAATACAACTATCTCTTTGACATACTGATTTCATTTTCTTTAGGCATATACTCAGAAATAGGATTATTGGATCATCAGAGAATTCTATTTTTAATTTTTTGAGGAACATCCATACTGTTTTCTGTATTTTACATTCCCATCAGCAGCATGCTAGGGTTCACTTTTCTGTACATCCTCAGCAACATTTGTTATTTTTTTGTGGGTTTGTTTTGTTTTGTTTTGTTTTGTTTTTTCGAGACAGGGTCTCATTATGTAGTTTAGGCTGGCTTGAACTCACTATGTAGCCCAGGCTGGCCTCAAACTCTCACTGCAATCCTCCTGTCTCAGCATCCCAAGTGCTGGAATTATAGGCATCCACCACCATACCTGGCTGTCTTTTTGGTAATAGCCAGAAAGGTATAAGGTGCTCTCTCATTGTAGTTTTGATTTTCATTTCCCTGGTGACTAATGATGTGGAGCACCTTAGCATATACACTTTAGCATTTTGGATGTCTTCTTTTGAGAAACACCCATTCAGGTGTTTTGCTCATTTTAATTAGATTGTTTGGTTTTCGCTATTGCTTGAGTTCTTTGTATGACCTGGATATTAACCTCTTAGACCATGACCCATTCACACACTTTGGATTTTTTGATGTCACAAATTGCATCTTTATACTGCCTACCCCTTAAGAAATTATTATAATTATTATCTTTTTGTTTTGTTTTATTTTAAAGAGATAAAAGTAAAACTAACAATAATACAGAGTTTCAAAACAGGCTAGTAGAAGAGTTACAATATCAACACATTGCATATTGTTATATTCACAGTAGTTGCTCAAAGTACAAGATATCGGTATGAAACACTGTCCAGAAAATTACTAGAGCAAAAATTTCCCACCAGTGAACCAACAGAAACCAGCTGTATAACTATCATATATATATATATTCTCATTTTTTAAATTCACTGTTATTAAATATGTATGCATAGAGTAAAAATATATGTATTCCATACTTGTGGCATCTCCTCCCAAATAGTTTTACAGTCCTTCCCATGTAGATAATTCTATGTTCTACAACACAGAATTTTGGGTCATTTACTTAAACTCTTAGCACAACTCAGTGGCCGTGCCCTAGGGTTGTGCTTATTGCAGTGGTACAAAAGCACTTTGCTGCCTTTGCTCCTCAGTTTTATCATCTACAAAATACAGGTTACTGTTGGGAGACATGAATAAAGCGATATATATAAAGCATTTAAAACACAACCTGGTATATAGCAAATAAACCAGTGTTAGCTATTCATATGGTGATGGTGGTGGTGGGGGTGGTGATTCTTATGGTTGCTGTTCTTGCTGTTACTAGAATGTTTCCGGTTCATACCCTAAAATTTCCCAGCTCTCTCTTTCCAAGTTATACTGATGTGATTAGTATTTACAATGATTTTATTTTAAACACACCAAATTACCTTGCATAACAGGAGCCATCCTTATCTAAGCTGAAAGCCTTAAAAAGAAAAGCTGAGACTTTCTAACAGTGAAGGAATTCAGCCTTAAGACTGCAGCGTCAAACCTGAGTTTGCAGCACGTCAGCCTGCAAAGCTCACACTTGCCAACTCTGACAACTGTGTGGGCCAGTTCCTCAAAGTAAATGAATCTGGATGGATGGATGCAGAAAGAGAGAGAGGGACAGAATGCCTATTGATTCTGCTTCCCTTGAGAACTCTGCCTGGCAGAGTTATCCCAGCCCCCACTGTGTCTTATAAAATAAAAGCAGCCTCTTTTCTGGACCCAGACATACATGTCTAACTACCCCTCACATCAAAGCTTGTCCATGCCTCTCCCTGCTTAAGCCGTCAGTGACTTTATTGGCTTCCAAGAGCATGGTCTTCAGGACCCTAAAGGCTGTGGCCCCTGCCAAAATCCATGGACCTCGTTCCTCACCCCCTAGTTTCCAGACACACAGGACTTCTCTTTGCCCCTCCAACATATCCAGCTTACTGGGGCCTCAGGGCCTTTGTGCCTGCTCTTGTCTCTGCCTGGGCCACCTGCCCTGGCACCCTTCCTGCTGTCTGGCCCTTCAGGTCTCTGTCGCAAGATCACCTCACCAGAGTCCTTTGAGTAAGAACCCCCAGGATTCACTACACTACCTGCTGCTTTGCTCCCCTATGTACTTACCTCATTTATGATTTTATATTTATTTGCTATTATATTTAGGTTTATCAAGGCAGAAATTACTTCTTATTCCCTGCTATGGCCTGAGCACTTAATATAAAGTAGAAGACTAACAATTCCGTGGCCGAATGAGTGGAGGGAGCCAGCAGCAGCTATGCGGCCTTTTCTTTTCACGTTCCCCATCCATGACTGAAGGCACTACCTTAGCACAGGGTTGGCCCCAAACATGAACAGGTGACTTTGCTAACATCGTTGTGCCAGCTTTAGGAGCTGCATGAGTCAGAATCTAAGCACAGTCAAATTCAGAAAGACTAGTTTAATAGACATAAATACCAAAATAAGAATTCCATTAAAAAGAATCCAAAGCAATTGTCCACAGCCTTACTCACAAAAAGGAAAGAAGTCCCTGTCTGTGCTTAATTCCTGCTCTTGCTTCCCACTGTCACTTCTTTCATGCCCACCCCACCAAAACCTTCTGTTCCACATCCACTCCCCATGGACCTTGCATCTCTATTGCATATATCAGCCTGGCTTTTCCTCCAGCAATTAAGGCCCTTTTCTGTAAGAGGAGGTTTATCTTTGCGTAAAAGATGCTCCCGAAATTAGTAGATTCTCCTTGGCCAACTTCAGAAGGTAGCAAAACCTGTCAACACTCCCGCATTGAAAATGTGTGTCATCTCACAACACACAGCAGACTTCCAGTTGATTAATGCAGTCGTCCTGATCATTTCTGTGAGACGTGTAAATTGCACTGCTCAGTTTGTTCATGGAAACTATACACTGGCAGCCTTTGTGACACATAGCATCAGGGTCTATTGTCTATGCTGAGAAACTCTGGCTGAGGAACAGAAAATGTATTTATCTTTGTCACATAGCTCAGTCTACTGAGAGTCTCTCTGGGCCCAAGGTTGCCGACAGCCAGAGGCTGTGGATAAACCAGAAGCAATCCAGACATACACTGCCATCCACCTGGCCACCTTCCAGGTCACCCAGGTAGAAAGGATTCAATTCTGGGTCTGATTTTTTTAAGCTGTGCTATTTTTCAGTAAGTCACCTGCCATGATTTAATGCTGCAGATAATTTTTATACTTGACATATTTGCTCATTCTTGAAGAAAAAGTGATTTCTCTGATTTGTGTGATATTTATCCATTCTTCTTAGTACATCTGAGCAGAAAGAGAAATGTAAAAGGTTGAAATGAGGAAAGGACAGATCTCTTTTCGATTTCCTTTTCAACCCTGAGTAACTTGAACAAGGCAATTACTTTCTCTATACCTTAATTTTTCAATTTAAAATAGTGTTATCTGTGTCTGTCGCTTACCTGAAGTCCCAGAGGTAATGAGATGAAATCCAATCCACTTTCCAGAAACATCTTTACAATGAAACTCTTGCTTGCAGAAAATGTGAAATTTCTGTGTCTTCTACAAGCCAGTGGCTATTTACACTGTATCACACTTTGTACTAAATGCCTTCAGAAGAAAAAGTTTCTGGCCACTGGTTAGGGGTTGTCCTACTGAGATTTGTCTTGTGGTGAGAAAATATTTTCCAGGTATGCCAAGAAGGTTGGCACTTTGCCTGAAAGCCATGAATCTGGGTATTTAGTCCAGACTTGGAAATGTGGACAGTTGTTAGTCACAGGCTATTGAGATTAGAATTATTTCAGTTATTTTAAGTGTTTTTCATACCTCAGGGACTAGAGGGGATATAAAATACCAACCGACGCCTACACTTATGGCACAACTTAATCTACATGAGGAAGTGCTGATTCCTATCAGCTGGCAATGTTTGAAGCAATTTCTAAGCAATGCCCCTCCAAAAACACCCATATCGTCAATGCCTGATGGAATGATAAAGTACAAGCTTCAGTTCTGCCGCACAAACCCCAGCCACACTCGGTTCAGCATTCATCATCACCCAGGGCAGAAACCCATCCCAGACCTGTCCCCGGTTACTGACCCAGAAAGGGCACACTGAAGCGCCTCAGGCAGAGGATAACATAGCAAAGGCCAGACCCATCCAGAGGAGCTGAGAGGGGATGAGTTTTATAAGAAAACCACTGCCTCCTCACCCTCCGAGCGGATGTGTCACTAATAAAAGTCTTTTTCTCCGTGGAGTTGGAATATTCCAAGGTTTGCAAAGCTCGTGGTTCATGGGGCACATGCTGGAAAACTGCACCATGACAGACATGGTAAAGGACGGGGGGCTAAGGCTTGGGTCATGGGTAGTGTACCATGAACTGAAGCGCATAAAATGTATCTTGTTTCATTGCGCTGTCGCTGAAATGATCCAGGTGCCGGCTACAGTTTGGCGCCACCTGGTGATAGTTATCTGCCCCTAACTCTTCCTATCCGGGCTCTGGTGGAGCTGGAATTTATAGACTCCTCAGGGAATTTAGGAACCTTCAGATGATTCATTATCACCTGCCATACTGATAAGATTGACCAAGGAGTATAACACAGATTCAGGGGTTCTCTCTGTCCCCCGCTTGATGAGACTGTATCCATCTGCACGGCATCCCCTAACCCCATCCAGAGTCAGAACCTGAACTAACCACGGGGAACTGTTACCACCCATCTCTTGCCCACTTGGTACCTTTGATTCCAAGCTTCTTCCGATTGCTTCTTCACAGCCCAACTAACGTGGAGTTGTTCAGGCATATTCTACCAGAGATGTGGGGAATAAACTCAGAGTTACAGCATACACCAGAGTTACACTTTCTTGTATTTACTCTCAGATACTGTACCACAGGTCCTGGTAGACCTCTGCCATTGAACAGTCATCACCGCAGGAAGTTTTTTCCTGGCTGTGTCCTTTTGCAAGACTGTAGATGAACCACGGGGTTCAAGCCCCACCCTAACCGCCTGGTCCTCGCTACTGTTTCTCCTGGTGCTTCCACTGTCTCCCACAAAGACCAAATCTGCACATTTTGCCTCACCCTGAATTAAGTTCTGGCATCTGTTTTTATATCCCAAATCACAGGAAGACCCTCAGCCAAACCAAGGGCCATCTACTTTGTTCTCTCCACAATATGAAACCAGCAAAAACTTTTAATGCAGGATTTGCTTTTCCGGTATGTGTCCACTCAATCAAAATTCCAGACAGGACTATTGGCCTCCTGCCTCCACACATATACATTATTAGCTGCCCCACCATGCACCACCCCCAACACTCCCCCAAGCAGACAGGAAGGAGGAGTAGGGGAGATGGGGGAGGCTGGATTCTTTGTGTTGGGGTCCCATCTTTGCCTCTCTCTCTTCAGAGTATTTCTAAACCCTGAAGGCAGATGGGGTGACACTGGAGAAGTTCAGAGGTCCTCATATCTCCTGCCTCTTCGACCAAGCAAGTGGATATCTTCCTTTGCCCCTTGACTTCACTTAGCCACTGCCCCCTTCCCTCCTTCATAGCCAATCCTATTAAGAATGGAGTCCACCTACCACCTCCATTCCTCATTCCCGTGACTCAGCCCACCTGGTCCACCTTTCCAGAATCAGGCAGCAAGTTGCCACCCTGAACCTTCCTCTCCTCAGAGGCAGGATGCCTCTGCCCTTGGGGACCCTCCTTCCAGCCCACCCCTACCTCTCTCCCTGGGCTTGCCCCCCAGATATGCCCTCCTCTCTCTCATGACCACAGCATCCCCTTACCTTCTTGTGGTTTTTGGACCTGAGGACTCCCAAATCTAATGCCAGCCCAAACTTTCCACTCAGCTCTGGATCCAGGCCTCTGTCTTCCTGCTCTCAAAGTCAGCATGTCCAAAGGGCAACTTACCAATCTCACATGTGCCTGCCCTACTTCCAGGGACCCAGCCCAATGACAGATGGCCTCACTCACCTCCACTTCTCCTGGCCAGAGAGCCAAGTCCATCATGCCCTCAGCAGCCAAGTCCACAGTGTTCCCTCCAGCCATGGTACTGCCTGGATCCTTCCCCTCATATCCATCTCTGCCAGGGACCTCGCTCAGAGCATTTTTATTTCCTCTTCGTCACTATGGCTCATCCTAAGAGCTCATGCCTCTAGCCAGTCCACCTCTGTCCATGCCACAGCACTGCCAGAGCAGTGGACTCTGATCAGATTAACCTCCTGTTTAAAACTGTTGTTTGGTTTCCTATCAACTTCGGAATAAATGAGGATCTCTCCATTCTGTCATCAAATGCCGTTCAAGATTCGGTTTCTCCAGGGTTTAGAAACACTCTAAGGACAGGCAAAGCCGAGACTCCAAGAGAAAGAACCCAGCCTCCCCCATCTGCCCTGCTCCTCCTTTCTGTCTACTTGGAGAGAGAGTAGGGGATAGGATTTTTCCTTTCCAGTCAAGTCTCTGGACACTGCTGGGCACAGCCAGGTTCCATTCAGTTCAAATTGCATCCTAGTACCCTCTTCATGCCGTGAACCTCCCTCCATGCCTTGGCATCTGCTGTTTTCCTAACCTTGAGCCAGCAACCTGATCCCAGCCTGCCTATTTCCTATTATTCAGAGCCCAGCCAAGCAGCTTCTCTTCTAGGAAGCCTCCCTCACTGGCTGAGGATTCTGCCTTCCCATTACCTCCCAGGCATTACCATAGCTAGCTAATAACTTAGCTGTACCATTTAATATAGGTTTTTAAAAAAATTTTTATATATTAATGTAATTTATATTGTACAGGTATTTATGGAGGACTATTCACAGCCTCTTGATGTCTCCACTCCCCTTGAAAGGTAACTACTCTCAAGCATGTCCTGTATTATACTCTGTGATGTTTCTCTGTTCCAGGAAAAAAGACAAAGTCTAGGACTCTCATCAATGTCCCCACCCCTAGCATGGGCCCAAGGATATAACTGGTGCTGCATAAATACTTGCTGAACTTATCAGTTAAGAAGTTGCAAATTTTGTCTGCCTCCAAGAGAGGCAAGGGACTTCGGTATGTAGTTTCTAACATCTGTATATAAAACTGAGCCACAAAGTACACAGTGATGCTTTCTTTTGGTGAAATGAAATCAGATTGATCTGCAAACTTTTTTCCAGAAAGAAGAAGAGTCAAGTCAAATAAAATGAAATAGTAAAAAAGCATCTAGCACCATTCTGTAAAGACAGAGGGATGTTTGAGGGTAGATGAGGGATGAGGTGGCTCAGCACATATTAAATGAGATGTGGCCCAAAAGCTCTCTACACAAAGAGGGATGTGAGAAAAGGCAATGTTGTGGCAGCGTCACGTTTCCAGAATGTTCCAAGGTGGATCAGCATCTTGCTTGTGACCTAGGATTAAGCAGTGAAAGCTACCAGGCCACTGGCTTCCATTTGGGTTAAGACGTACAGCATAACTGTCAGCAGTAGGAATCTAGGTGCCAGTGACTCTCAGCCTGACTGAACAAGACATCACCAGAACAGCGTCCTAAGATCTAATGTTCAAGCTGCCTGCAAGCTGATTAAATCTGAAACTCTAGAGCGAGATCTACACACAGGAACTTGTCAAGGTGATTCCCAACATGCAGCAAGTGCTGTGTGCTTCTAACTTGAACTTGGACATAAATCACCAGGTAATCTCACTAAAACACCCGTTCTGACTTGGTCCACCTAAGGCGGAGCCTGAGAGTCTGCATGACTGACAAGCTCCTAAAGGCCATTGTTGTAGTTTAGCTTGCAAGGTAGTGGAGCAGCTTATTACAAAGATATTCAAGATGTCGGATGCTTACAAGATGCAGCTATTGCAGAGGGAGTTGATGCCTTGCACAGAGTTTGAGTTTACATCATTGCTCTTCAGTCTTTCTGTAACAGCTGACATCTTCACTTGCAAACAAAATTACCCACAGGAAGCTGATATGTGAACCCACAACACACAGCAGTTCGTCACAGTGAATATGTTGGACTTATGCCTTCTTGTTTCCTTTTCCCACTCCAAAGCACCTTGTGTCAGATCCCCCACATTGGACGTTGTCCAACTTGAAGAAAACAAGCTCTGGCAGACCACCCCTCTGTTCAAGGAGGAAGCCCCCACCACCACCTAGCCTAAGAGACTGAAAATAACCCTGTCTATCTGGTCCATTCTCAGGCTTACAGGAAACCCTGTAAGTCTACAGAGTGCCACTCTGTAAGTCAGCAAAATGCCACTGTCATCCTGCACTTCCCACCAGGTGCTCCCTGCCAGAGACACCAGACCCACCAACTGACCCCTGAAAAATTCAATACTTTCCATCTCTCTCGGTGGGACCTCCTCCCCTTCTTAAACTCCCCTACAAAGCATATCCTCTTCCTTTGTTAGTGGCCAACGGTCTTTTTGCCCTTGGCCAGACCACACCCAATTTGAAATAAAGTTATCACTGTTCACTTTTTAAATTCTGCCTGTCCTAGCGGTCTTAGTCACTCCTCAGGGTCTAGCCTGACACCTAGAGTCTCCACCAAGTGCACTATGAAGACACCTAGATATTACTTACTAAACCTGTCAATCTTGATTTCAAGCACTGAGGATTATTTAACAAACTAAAACTGTTGATGCTTTGAACAATGAGGTGACTCCTGATGGTGAGACATAAGTACATCTGGATTAGTGAGCATTAAGGTATTACAGCATTAAGGACAAGAGAATCTGGGGGACCAGGAACCACATGGTCTGTATTCAGCAAGCTTATCCTGAAAAATGTGTCAGGCCCCATTTACTGCCTATAGCAGTGAACACGATGGACTAAAGGCAGGAAGTTGTTGCATGCACCTTTCTACTGATAGTTCCCAGAAGTGCCTTGGCAAGGTTTAATAATAAAAATCAATGTGCCTCACTCCTCCCTCTAAGCCTACACAATCCAGCACGCAGCAGACAAAGTAGTTCCTCCTGCCACTGCCTCTTGCTTTTATGGCTGGTTCTTTTCTGGTTCATTTCTAAGTTATTGCTGACCCCTATGTAATACCAACCCAGATCTCTTCTCCTGAGGCAGATATTAATTCTGAGAGCTCTAAATACTGCCTGGCAGGAATCTAGGAAATGTCAGAGTCAAAAGCCAGAACAGGTGGGGAGCCACAAAAGTAGGATTACTCTGATTCATTGACCAGATCTCTAAGATATTAATTTTAGCATATGTATTTGCCAAATTTCAATTAACTACAAGTTGGCAAAATTTCTTTAAAAAATTATCAAAGTGAAAGAAATGTATTTACTTTCATATTTTCTAATGATGCAATTTCATTCATTTGGCTTCTATTCATATAGAATTTTTGATAATTTGGACACAGTTTGGATTGAACATCTGCAGTTACTATGTCATAAGGACTTATCTGATCAAGATTTAGGAGGATATGTTTAACCTTTGAGCTCATCAAAGGAGTAAACCTACCTCTGTTAGGGAGATGACTGAGGAGTGGCTGGAGGGATAGGAGACTGCAAATCTGGATACCTAACGTCCTAGCTAGGCTGAACTCTTATGAAATTATTTATAGTGACAAAATACACCTTATATATCTACTCTTTGAAATATTTGAAGGCATGCAATCAGGGGCATTAAGAACATTCACAACTCTCCATATATTTCATATAAGTGGAATCCTACAGTAGTTGTCCTTTTTTGCCAAGTGTATAAGCATAAGGTTAGCAAGGTTTCCCTGTATGTCCAAACTTCATTCTTTTTTAAGGGTGAATTCTGTTTCCACTTTCTAGGTGTTGTGAATAGTGTTGGTGTGTAAGTACCTGTGTTGGTGTAGGCTTTTTATTGTACAGACCCAGAACAATAAAAAGCCTACACAAAAACAGAGCTTGTCAGAGCATGGAGAAAGCAATGTTCTCCCTGACCTTTTAGCTGAATTAAGTGTATATTTTTGTTTTTCCCAAATAAATGACAAGGGGCCAGGGATATAGCTCAGTGACACAGTGCCTGCCTGCCAAATAAATGACAAAATTATTTTTCCTTCTTTGAAAAAAGGGGCTGATAAATTGTTTACTGCTTCCTCTTAGCATTTTTTATTGACCTGATTCATGATTTCCCAATGGGTATATTATTTTTAAATATAGATTTTATTTTGTATTTAGGTATGGTGAGACCAACATACCAGGACATGTTTGCCGTTGAAAAGATACTTTATTACTCACAGTTCTCAGGATGAAGGTGCATAGCCCATATTACAAAGAAAGGCTTAGCTGGAGTTTTCTCAGGAAAGAACTAGGTAGGCAGGGGAGCCGGTTTATGATTCGTAGTTTGAATAATTTCAGTGGGCTCTGGGGCACAGGAACTCCTAATAGACTGATGCCTGACTTGGCCATTAAGGACAGGAGAACAATATCACATAGTGGAAGAGGCCCACAAAGCAAGCAAGGATGTGGACTTCGGGTTCTTAGTTTACATTTGAAAAGCAGATAGCAAGAGAGTCCTCGTTGTCTAAAAATTAGCTAGACCTGGGAGGGGCAGACAAGACGACAGAGCCAGTCTCAGATGCCAAAGCATCAGGTACAGACACCACAAATCATGTTTTAAACACATTTTAATGACGATGTCATAAATCACAAATAACCATGGGGGACAAGAAGGACCTCGGAGATCTTGTAAATGTAGCGTTACAACAATGATTCTCGATGTTCACTGGGAATCAGAATAACTGGAAATTTTCTGCAACAGGCTTCCTGCTCCCACATTTAGGCCAACTGAGCAAGCATCTTTGGGCAGTGGTCCTTTGTAAAGCTCTTTGTTGGTTCTCAAGTACATTTGAAGTTCAGAACCTCTGGTCTGCAACAAGGTTTCTGCAATAGAAGGGGAGTGGCATCCCCTAGGATCATGTTATCCATGCAGGTCCTCAGGCCCACCCAGAACTGCTGAGTCATGAACCCAGCTAAGCTCCGCCCTGTGCCATTGCACAAGTCCTCAGGGGATTTTTGAGGCCCGCTCAAGTGGAGCCCTGCGGGCCAAGGGAAGGAGCACCGATTGAGTGCAGCATCCTCTCAACATGACCCTGACCCAACAGTCACACTAAGCCCTCTAAGGGTAGGTCACTGAGCAAGTCTGTCTGCAGCACACAGGGCTGTTCTCACAGGGAGGAATCACGGGGTCTAACAGAGGTTCTTCGTATGGCCCTGCCCTTGGAGTCTCTAAAGGCTTTGCTCATAGGTGCTGCCATTCCCGCAACCCAGAGGAGGGACTGAGATCAGGGAGGAAGCACACCATGCAGCCAGACTGTGGTGGCTGAGGAAGAAGACAGTCCAAGGGACCTGGAGAGCCTGCTGTGACAGGAGTAACCAATCTGCACAGAAAGATGTACTTCTGCTCTGCTCTCCTGAATATGTGGCTCATTGCTTAAGAATCCTTCAAGTATTTTCAAATTGCAAACTTTAGTATTCAGAGGTGGACGTACACAGCAAAGCTGTGGAGCTCTGCAAAGCAGAGATTGAAAGCAAATGGAGTGTGCATAAAGGCGAAATTAAATGAGTAAGTGGGCTTTCCCTTTCGAAAGAAAATCATTGCAGGGAATTAGCACAGAGTGTAACCAGAATAGAAGGCAAAAACTTGTGAGTGACTCTTTCCCACAATGACAAGCTGGCTATGGGGCAGAGACCTGCATCCTGGCCCCAGCTCCACCTGTTAGCAGTTGTGAACTTGTGCAGATGAATTAAATTCTAAAACTTGGCTTCCTCACCTACAAAATGCTCCAAGTTTAACCACTATTTCTGTTACTACTGCTGCTGTTAATATTATTATTAGCACAGTAACAGCTGCAGTCTGTATTGTGTTGCCTTAACAAAATTCCAGGAGTTGGGTACTTCATAAAGAAAAGAGGATTATTTAGCTCACAGTTTTAAAAGCTCAAGAGCACTGCATTTGGTCAGCTCTGGTGTGGGTCTCATGGTGGGTTACATCACAGTGATAGGCACATGTGCAAGAATGGGGCTAATGTGAATGGGAGGATTCAAGGGAGGTAGGAGGGTCCTTTAACCAACCCATTCTCATGGGAATTAACCCAGTCCTGTGAGACTGACCATTCCTAGGAGACCGCAGAATCCATCATAAGGGTGTAACTCCATGACCTAAGAACCCTCCCCTTGCCTATCTCTGATTGCCCCCTCCTCAACACCACCAGCCTACAAACCAAGCTTCCAGCACATGAACATTTGAGGAAGGAACCTCAAACCTCACACCATAGCAGTGACCTAGAATAAATCTCCAAGATATTCACTGTTCTCGTCATTATTTTTGCAACTGCTACCAGGGGTCCTGAGCACCTCCCTTATGCTGGCATCTGGGGAGAGGGCTACAACTTGCCAGACAAGCCAAGGACCCCCTGAGAAAAATATCTTTGCTCAAAACTCAAAAAGCATATTTGAGTCTGCTACTAAGAAGAAGCCTTGCCATACACAGAACAAGATAATCCATGCTGCTACAACAAACCTCCCAACCTCAGTGGTTTAGCACTGCAAAGATTTATCTCTTGCTGGTGTCTAGTTCAAGATGAGTCAGTTGGTATCTGCCTGTTTTTCAAGTGTTGACTCGGAGATCCAGGCAGAGAGCTACCTAGAGTATATTCCCAAAGGCCAGGCTTAGAAACTGCTACACTTTGTGACTTTCACCCATGGATCCAAGTTCTAGGATTAGTTTTTATCTCTCCAAGCTACTAATTGCGATGTTCATGGTATTTGTCACATACCACAGATTGGGGCTCATAACTATGATGGTTCTCATTTAAATATGCAAGTGTACAGTTATGAATTACATGGTACAATCAGCTCCTTCACAGTGCAAAATATACTGCTAATTATGCAGCCCAGATTTGCATTCTTGAGTTAGGGGGGAGTGCATGATATTAAAATGAACAATTTTAGTTTAAATTGCCATAAGTATGCAATGGATTCAGTTCCCTATCCTCTCTGTCTCTCTCTCTCTTTCTCTCCCTCTCCAGTCTGAACAAGAATCTCCATTATGGAAAGTCCACAGGGGAACATAAACTGGAGGGATTTGTTTCCTTTAGCTGACCACCCTTTCGCCCCATGCAGGTGGCAGCCCTCTGCACAGCACGCCTCGCAGCCCAGCCTCATAGCAGCAAAGGAGGGAAGTGTCCCTGCCAAGCCCGGACCACCCCAGCTCTTTCTTAGACTGACACCTTTCACCTCTCCTCCACCTTGCTGCAGGTACCACATCTGTGTGACCGTGCTGATCTACTTCCTCCCCCTGCTGGTGATCGGCTATGCCTACACAGTAGTGGGGATCACGCTGTGGGCCAGTGAGATCCCCGGGGACTCCTCTGACCGGTACCACGAGCAGGTGTCTGCCAAGCGCAAGGTGAGCAAGGGGCAGACAGCACCCAGCACCCAGGCCAGCATGGGCAGCAGGCTGGCTATCAGGGCTGGCAATTCTGTGAGCCCCCGAGGGAGCAGGCGCAGAATTTTCCCTGGGCCTGGGAGGCAAAGGAGAGAAGAGAAGAGACCTTTCTTTATACACACTCGTATACATACACACACTCCTACACACATGCACACACTCCTACACACATGCACACACTCCTACACACATACACACTTACACATATGTACACACATACACACTCTCCTACATATACATGTACACATATACCCAAAACAGTTACCACTGTGGTTTCTTACTAGCTCTTGTAGATATTGAAATTTATAAACCAATAAATATGTACCATTTTCTCTTCTTTTTTACACAGATAGTACATACAAAGTTGTCACATTCTTCACTTAAAATCCACACAAATCCCAAAAATCAGTACAGAAAGTTTTCTCTCCTCTGCTCTGCTGCCTCGTACTTCTTTGCATAGCGTTTCATTGCACGGAGGCCATGTGCTTCTTTGCTGAAGGTTTCTTGGGGATAAGAAGGAGGTTACATCATCCAGAATCTTTGCCCTTTCACATAATTATAACAAAATATCTTTGGGAACTTGGTTTCGGTTTTTTGTTTTGGTTTTGGGGGTTTCTTTTGTTGTTTTGTTTTGTTTTGTTTTGGTACTTGGGATCAAACTCACTACCTTGCACTTGCGATCGAACTCATGACCTTGCCAAGTAGGTGCTTACGCCACTGAGCTATATCCCCAGCCCCTTTTTTTTGTTTTTGAGACAGGGTCTTGTTGTGTAGTTCAGGCTTGCCTTGAGTTCACTGTGTAACTCAAGTATAGGTGAGCAAGGGGGAGGCTAGCCTTGAATATGCAGTGATCCTCCTACCTCAGCCACCCGAGTGCTGGGACTACAGGCGTGCACCATCATACCCAGCTCTGTGGGAATTTGTAAATACAAAAGTTTTATTTCTCTGGAGGTTCTAACATCCAAAGTCAAGGCACCAGCCAATTCAGTGTCTCATTAGAGCTGTTTCCTGGATCGCGGATGGTGCCTTCTTGCTGTGTCCTCACATGGTAGAAGGGGCAATGGGTCTCTCAAGCCCCTTGTAAGGGTGCTAATCCCATTCCTGAGGCTCGACCCTCCAGACCCAATGGTTTCCCAAATACCTCCTCCTAATGCTGCCACTTTGGGGCTTAGGATTCCAACATGTGAATGTGGGGGGGACACAAACATCCAGCCCATACCACTCAGGATTTGTAAGTCCTTTAAACATTGGGTTTAAAGCCCTTGTTGCTGCTGTCCACTGCTCTGTCTCCCCTTCCCTCTCTTTAAGTCCTCAGCAAAAGCCCTCCACCGACCCCCACCCCCCTCCTGAACACCCATTCACCCTCGCTCCTTTACTGGTCTCCCTTGGCTTCTTCAGCCCTTGGGTCCCATAACATGGCTGCCCCCAAACTGAGAGCACGTCAAAAGCATCTGGAGCTTGGTGCAACACAGAGCTCTGGATCCCCTCTCAGAGCTTCTGATTCCATGTAAGTCTGGGATCAGTCCCGGGACTTGTGCCTCTAACAAGCTCCCCAGTGATGGCAGGGAGAGAAGTCCTAGGGCCACCTTACGAGAACTGCCCACACAACCCACATCTCTTAGCACCAAATCTTAAGGTCCCTTCTCCTCCTTGGAAGGCACAGTAGAAACACCTCCCACCCGACATCATACTGCATGCAGTGAGGGTTAGGGAGCAGCCTTGCGAGACGGAGGATGCGCTGGTGTTCACCTGCCTGACCCTCTCCCCAGGTTGTCAAGATGATGATCGTCGTGGTGTGCACCTTCGCCATCTGCTGGCTGCCCTTCCACATCTTCTTCCTCCTGCCCTACATCAACCCAGACCTCTACCTGAAGAAGTTTATCCAGCAGGTCTACCTGGCCATCATGTGGCTGGCCATGAGCTCCACCATGTACAACCCCATCATCTACTGCTGCCTCAATGACCGGTGAGGACTGCACCCCACACCCTTTCCTGGAGCCACAAGCGGCCAAGCTAAGTGATCACAGGTGGCTGTGAGACAGGAGGGAGAGATGGGGACTAACTAACCACCACATGACACAGCCCCTGCTGGTGATAGCTTGCGAGAACCTGGGCCCAGTACTGACTGATTTTCATTTGTTTTCCGAGAGGGACCCCAAATCCATATTTTTGTGTGAGATCTTCTGATCTTTAAATAAATACTGGCAGCTAATTTAAATCAAATTATGAAACTCTGTGATTGGTGCATGTAAGGCAGCCTGCCAACCGGATCTTCTTCCCATCCCACCATACAGTTTGGGGTTCACAAGTTTCCCCCGTGTCATCTAACACTTCCGGCAGGATATCACCTCCCCTTACATGGTCAGATGGGCTTGGGGCAGCTGTTCCACCAGCAAAAGCCAATCTCAGACAAGGAGAATGGAGAACCACTAGGAATGGTGGTCAGTGGTAGGAAATTCACTGTGGCACAGAGAGGGCTCCCCAGAGGGCCTGGGAGGCCAGCCTGCAGCACACTCTATCATCCAGAGCAGCACTCCAGCTCTGTCCAGAGAGGAAGAGGAGAATGAAAATGCTTGATACAGTTTTTCTATCCGTTAGTCATCAGTCTGGGGTGACCTGTCTGTGAATCAGGCAGCAGGTACTGAATCAGGGAAAAACACTGAACTTGCCCTAATGATCTCTGTCAACCTAATTCACACATTCATCCTTCTTCTAAGAGCTTGACAACCTGCTTAAACATGGGGGAGAATCTCCCTACATGTCTTTAAGTAAAGGCAGATTCTCCCTGTTTAACAAGCAGGGAAACTGAGGCATGCTGAGTGGACATGACTGGAAAAAAGTTCTACTGCAGTCAGTGAGCCACTTGAGAGAAAGGACTGAGACTTGGTATGTGTTTTGACCAAAAGCCTGGTGACTAGCACAGTGAGGTACTTACAGAAAATTCTTAGTGTTTTTGTTACTGTTGAATTGACCCAAAGTCTTCTGATCCCAAACTAAGGGAGGCAGCATAATCGAGGGACCACAATCAGGAAAGACCTGCACTTTACACAAACTTGGGTTCTATCTTGGATTTCACCTCGATAAATGACCTTGATCTTTTTGACCACTGCATCTGTAGCCATTAGTTAATCTAAAACTCAGTGACAGAGTCATGCTTGAGTGTGTGCTGTGCTGAGGAGCTGATGCAATGGTGGGAACACCCTGAAAGCAGGCCGTCCCCAAGGGTCAACTCTCCATCTGCTCTCTCTCCAGGTTCCGCCTGGGGTTCAAGCATGCTTTCCGGTGCTGCCCCTTCATCAGCGCCGGAGACTATGAAGGTCTTGAAATGAAATCCACCCGGTATCTCCAGACCCAAGGCAGTGTGTACAAAGTCAGCCGCCTGGAGACCACCATCTCCACGGTGGTGGGGGCCCACGAGGAGGACCCTGAGGAAGGCCCCAAGGCCACACCTTCATCCCTGGACCTGACCTCCAATGGCTCCTCTCGCAGCAACTCCAAGACCGTGACAGAGAGCTCCAGCTTCTACTCTAACATGCTGTCCTAGGCAGCGGGCCCTGCAGCAGGTGTGGCCTTGCTCACCTCTGTCCTGTTTCATTCACGCATGAGTACCTCCTTGATTTGGAAACCATCAGAAACACCCTAACATTGGAGGTTTTGGGAAGGGCCAGAATGGTTTAGAAAAAGCATCCCATCCTAAAATCGATTTGGATTCACCCATGGCATTGCCAGCCCCCATGCTGTGTGACCTAAGGCAAACAAGTGAACTTCTCGAAAGCTGTAAAAAAAGAATCTTAAATTAGATTTTCTTTATGATTCATTCTATGATTCTAGAAGTGACTTGGACAGCATGTGGGTACTCCTTTAAGGATGAATTCTGCAGCACAGTAGCAGATCCAACAGATCTGTTTGCCTGGAGCCTTTGTCTTATTCAGTAAAGTCATTCTCAGCCATCCTCAGATTAGTGCCCTTCAGCTGGTGGTTCATATCACTCCAGCCTTCCGTTGACAGGGTGAACAGAAGAATGTGTTGCATAAAATCTGCATGGAAGATCTAACCTCATCTCTTAAGCACCCATGGAAAAAAGACATGTCTGCCCCTATTTGATATCTCAATATTTCATTCAGTTCATTTAAACATGATGGGACTGAGAGCCTCAGGCTCTTCTGCATTAAGTCCCCCGTGGCCACCCTGAGCAATCCGTGCAGGCAGAATGTGTCTACTGATGCCAGCTAATGTGTATTCTGACTGAGTCAGGAGGCACTTGCTAGGCTTAATCTATCTGATCCTCTGTCCTTTTGCATAAAGCAACGAGGCTGAACTAAATCATCTAAGTGTGCCCTAGAATCTCAGTGCTTTATGGCTCAGTGATTGTATACATTTTTGTTTGTTTGTTTGTTTGTTTCACCAAAAAATAGTAGTCACGAAGTAGGAGCAGTGACACCCATCTCCTGGAGATACAACAACTGATAAAACATGTAAATATCCATCTCAGACATTCTTCCATTTACCCTAAAACCCTGAGTACATTCCTCCTCCCAAAAGATCTTGGCCTTTGGCAGAGCAGAGGACTTCGTGACAAGGCCTACATCTCTCCAGCAGGCTTGTGCAGGTGAGCAGCTTGAGAACACCACTGAGGAACATCAGCATGTAGTCTTCCTTCTCTGGCCTTTCAGTATCTTAGGGCAGAGGCACTACCCAGATTCTTATCTTTGTGCTAGCAAAAGGCATGTGGTCAGAAGCCTGTAAAGTGAGACTGCTACACCCTGCAGGTGAACTTCTGGGATGAGGCAACTTGTATTTTCCCTCAGTCTCTGAGTATCCTCTTCCTGTCCCATAGCTTTGCTGGTCTCCTGTGCATAAGGGGTAGAGTGACCTACCAACCCCAAGGGATACTTAGTCCATCAAGGACATGAGCTGAAGACTTCCTGTCCCAATACAGCTCTGGGGTCTCCAGCAAGTGAACACGCAGTTTCTTTCTGACTCCCAGATCTGTGTCTTATCCAGATGTGGCCGGAAGCAAAAGCTTCATATGACATCCATGAATGTCTTCCTCAGAGTTGGAATACCGGATGCATCCATAATGTTAAGGGGGGAACAATGCCACCTATAGGGCTTGCAGCGCACACCTAGAGGAAGGTGTATAAAAACAGTATATGCCAGAAAAAAACTTGAGGACCATTATCTGCAAAGCAATATGAGATGTATCAAATACACTAAAGAAAGCCAGACTATGCAGATCTATGAGTGTGAACCTAAATTTAGGGGCAACAAAATTCCATGCCTAAAGCATTAATTGTACTTCCAATAGAGAATTGTACTTCCACTAGAGAAATGTGCCATATGCAGACGTTGAGAATCGACGTGATCCTGAGAAGCATCTAAAAAGGAAGTGTATAGAGGTGAGGACAATGCTCACCATCTGCAGAGAAGAATGTTAGAGTTGAGTTCAACAAGGATTCATTAAGCACCTGCTCCAGACTGAGGCATGAGCCAGGGACACACAACTCCTGACACTGTGGACAAGCTCATGGGACCTGCCACTCCTAACTTACTGGTCCTGGTGAATCCGGCTGCCTAGCAGGGATGAAGGCATCTGAGAAGCAGATTCTTCCCAGGGCAATGAAGCCAAAGACCGGGACATTCTGAGAGCCTTTGCTCTGAGAGTTCTCTGAGACATTCCAAAGGGAGCTACCAGTCAGTCCATGGGCCTAAGGGATATGGCTGAACAGTATCATCTCTGTGAATGATAACAGGGAGCATGGGATGGCTCTGGACAGCTTTGAATGCAGCAAAAAATCAGAGAGTGCCAGCAAAACTTCTCTGGCCTCACTCTCCAACATCCATTTAATTTGTAAATATGTTGTCAGGCCTCCGTGTGTGAGGAACACCATGATTTGCACTGTGCATGGATCTCATTCTTAGTATAGAGGTGTGTTGTCTGTGTTTATCTCCTCAGTGTGTTTCCTTGGTGTACTGCCCAATAGTAATAAAATAACAGACATGATGAGGCCATCTTTGTTCTATTACTTCCAAAATATGGAATCCAGTTGTTGTCATTGTGTGGTGTTGTGGCAACCTCTCCATCATTGCTCTTCCTCGAGAGGGAGCTCTGATTTATATCATGTACTCACACTAACTGAGAAGTGTTGAGGGGACTTTATAGGAGGAACTAGAGAACAAGAGCCCTGGTCCTCCTCAACCCCTGCCAGAACGCTAAGACATAAGACAGTGGAATCTTGGAAAAAGAAGACTCAGGAGCTGACTTTATTGGCCTGATCTGAGGGCAGAAATGTGGAGAGGGGCCATTGCTGAGGCCTCCGTGTTTTGTATTCTGAGATCCCGGAAAGAATCTCCATGTGGAAATAAAGTATGTTTTTTACCATCTTATGCCTTTGTCTCCTCTAGGGAACAGAAACTCTATAGAAGTTTGGATAGGATAATGTTGGGGACCTGCCTCATCTGTACAGCTAGAAAGATGAAATTGAATGAAGCATCCAGGAAATTCTAAATTCTGTGATCAAATAGAATCAGAGAAGTGTTTCCAGTTAAGATCTGGGAAGCTGAGGTGAGATTGTACGAAGTGACCAGCAACATCACTTGTGAATAGAGATGTTTTGGTTCAGGTTGTCCAAGAAGGCAAAATCAGAAGTGCAAGAATTTATCTAAAGAGTTAGCACCTAGAAAGGATACAGGGGTCAAAGGAAAAGCCCCAGACTGCACAGCAGCTCCTTGGTGGACCCAAAAGTGCTCACAGACTATGCAGAGAAACTGACCAAGCCTGGCATTTCACCACAGTTGGCTGCTGGGCCGAGCTCTCTGGGGACAATGGTTTACCCTTGACTTCTGTGGTAGAGCCTAAAGCACTATAGCTGGAGGCCATCAGATGACCAGAGTCCTCGCCACCCATTTTCTCACCAGAGGTTTGGTTCAGTCCTATGTGTTCAAAAACACACAGAGAGCCGGGGACATAGCTCAGGGGCACAGCACCTGCCTGGCAAGCGCAAGGTCCTCAGTCCAATTCCCAGTACCAAAAACTAAAATACAAAAACACACAGGGAAGTCCTGGCAGATTGGAAACATTAATAACGATCAGGTGAGCCCACAACATGCTCCCATTCCTGGGCTAGGTGCACCCTCTATGTCATCTGCACACCCTGGGGCACCTCACCCCTCAGGCAGCACCAGCAAGAGAGCAACTTGCAGCTTCTAACAGAATTTTGATGACAAAGATTGTACAGGCATTGGGAGAGGGGGTTAAAGAAAGCATAGACAGCTATCTCCAATAGTATTAGAAACTAGTAATGAAGATGCTTCTATTTTAATTAAGGCATCTTACATGGGGGTCCTTGAATAAGTTTAAAGTTTATAAGTCATCTTCAAGATCCCCACAAATTATATGTAAAACACATGTCTTAAATGGTACAATTAAATCCGAATCTGAATCGCCTCCAAACAAATCATTAACTCTCTATTCTTCAGAAAGAGGAGACATTAAGTTGCTTATAGGAGAGAGACAAGGAGCCTTGAGACCATCCAAGCACAGTAAGAAGCAGATGAGCCTAGGAAGGACCAGACTGACTGCTGGGAAGCCTAAAACAGCCTTGGAATAAAATTACAGCTCAAATCAGGGACTCAGATGAGTTACAGCGATAGAATGACATTACAGATATTTGTGGAAGTAAAAACAGCAAGGTCACGATGGAGTACGCTCTCTCTTCTCCATGGAAAGATAGGCATTTGTTAGCTGAGGAAAGGAAAGATTACAACTGAGTTACAGGTCAACAAATAATAAAAGATGTGGAGTACAGACATTCTGGGGAAACTTAATGATGTTTGCATTTATCCCTGGCCACATGCGATCTGCAGGTAACTGAAGGTGCCTAAAGCCACCTGGCTTTAGTAATACTCTCCCTTGTTGCCTCAAACCCTTTTCATAAATAGAGTGTATATATGTGAGTGACCTCAACTCTGGAACCCTAGAACAGTATTTCAAGTCAGGATCCCAAGCAGAGGCCGGAAGGTGGAGATGCACAGACAATGCTCTTCTCCTCCACCTTCAAACATGAAGGAAGCATCTGATTGTAGACCTTGTTGCCCCAACCCTCAAAGACCGTGCTCTGAGACGTCATTTATTTCTGTCCAGTTCAGGAAAACAGAAGGAAGAGGAAAGAGGCTATGATACACGGTATCTATCAATATAAATGAGTTGTGAAATTTTGGTCCTGGCTCCTCTCTCAAGCTGGGCAGCTTGAATGGAGAAAAGGCTGCTAGTTAGGGAGCACAACTAAAGGATATGAGCCATGAAGTGAATGCAGTTGGCTGGCAGCCCTCTCTCCCTGTCACTATCTGCGGTATGTTAGCAGTGTGTAATCTGCTGGCTCTGTGGATTTTCATTCAGATTCTGGCCTAGGTTTTCTGCATTGTGTGCATGTGTCTCCTGCCTTATTTTTATTTCCCATTCCCATTTTTTCTCCACTGTTTAATCCTGTCTTGCATCCATCCCTGGAAGCCTTACCTCCTGACATGTGCCCTGCTGACATCTCTGAATTTTACCTTCTGGATGCACTAATCAGTGGGGGAGTTGGTACATGCTATGGACTGCATGTTTGTGTCCCAACAACTTCATATGCTGAGACTCTAACCCAACCATGAATGTAATGATATTGGGATACAGGGTTTCAAGAGATGATTTGGCCACGAGAGAGGAGTCCTTGTGATGGGATTAGGGTCCTTATGAGAAAAAGCATGAGAGAGCTTGCTTTTTTCTCCACAAGGTAAGAAGACTGCCAAAAATGCAGCCCTGGAAGAGGGCCCTGATAGAAACTGATCATTATCTTGGACTTCCAGCCTGCAAAACTATGAAATTCTATTGTTTAATAAGCCAAGTTTATGGCATTCTCTTACAGCAGCCAAACTAAGACATCATGATCATGAGAACTCATCCCTATCCCTATTCACAAATTTCCATCCTCAGCTATTACCATGGAGGACAGCCCTTGCCCTCTCCTCTGTGTTTCTCTCTCGCTTAGGACTTCTTTGACACTGCATGTTCATATTGCTGCATTGCATGTTCATATTGCCGCATTGCATCTGTCTGCTAAGTAAAATGGGAGAAAGGACACAGAGTAAGATATACACCAGGTCTTTGTTTGATAGAGGAAAAGGCATGTTAGTGAAAGGAGAGCACATTTTATCATGCTCCAGAAAAGTATGTGTCCCTAAAAGTGGAAAAATAGAACTGCTACCTTCTCTCTCCCTATCTGAAATGTTACAATAATAAAAACAATGATAATAACAATAACACTATTATGTTCAAGATTTCTGGTGTCAAGCACTTTGCATACATTATCAAGTTCAATCTTCACATGCCATGAAGTCAGCATCATTATTTTTCTGAATTTAATATGAGATGAGACAGGCATAGTTGAAGTGACTTCTCTGAGATCTCATTATCAGAATGGAATCTCAGTAGTATCTACTTTCAAACTCCAGTGTCATAAGCAAGATCCTCTCCTGTCTCCTTTATTCATCACATTCCTAGTCTTCTAATCTCCTCCTGCAGATGCCACAGCCCAAGCTACTATGGCCTCCCCAAACACAGAAACAAATGTGTTCACAAGGTAGTGTTTCCAGGATTAGCAAATTTCCCTCCCCCCATTAGATCAGAAACATATTTCAAAGGGAAAATCACCCCCATGCTCTCTGCAGACACTCCTACAATTAAGTGTGCAGGAAGCCTCTAACTATGATTTGAAGAGAGGTTGTGTCACTTCCTCTGGGAAGAGGAGTGCTAGGAGAGTCAAGAATATACCCAGAGATAGAATGTAATACTCAGTACATATTAAGATTAAGATTAAGCAAGACTTCCTAATAGGAAAGGCAAGGATCCAGTGAAAATAGGCTGGACAGATCACCAGCAAAGGTCTAGTGTCAGTGGGCCAGACAAGAAAACTACCAGAAGATACTCATAATGTCCTGTGGTGGGCAGCTAGACTACAGCACTCCACAGTGTTCTGTTACATGTCCAGTTACCACAAGGAAGGGAGTTCATAGAGTAAAACTATATCAGCATTGACAGCATTGGCTTGCTTTGTTCCATTATATGACTAGCATTTCAAGGAATAGCTGGGGCCAGGGATATAGCTCAGTGGAACAAGCATCTGCCTGGCAAGCGCAAGGTCCTGAGTTTGATTCCTGGTACCAAAAATAAATAAATAAATAAACAAGGAACAGCTAATTTAGCATATAGGCAGGAAGGCAGTTCTACAAATAACACTAATTACCCAGTTCCCACTGCCCTTCAGGGCTCATGTGGACAGTCCAAACCCTTTCCACTTACTATGTCCCCTTGACTTGGAGAATATAAAGAATCATTTCAGGGACATAGTGCTAAATGTCCTACTTTTTATCAGGGATGATATAGCTTGCCAAGGATTTCCAGCTGAAGTTAAACTTGGCACATTTAGTCTTTGGTGCATAAAATTCCCTAAATGTGCGTTTCTTTGGTGGATAAAGGCTTTTTTTAGAAAGACAAATGTCACTGGAAAGGATAATGACTTACGTTTACAGCTAACAACTCAGGAGCCCATGTCCCATCTTTAAGATCAGACTCACCGAGCCCCACGTGCCCTGCGCAGCGAGAGCCAGTGTTCCAGGAGCAGCTAGACACCTGGGCTCGAGTCTGTGCTCGCCCACACCGCCACAGTTCCCAGCTGAAACCCGCGGAGAGAGCCAGGTATTTCCCAGCTACTCCCTGAGGGCAGCGCGTGCATCAGGACCCCACCGCCCAAGCCCCAGGAACTTCTCTGGCTGCGGGTGGGGCAAACAAACCCTCAGCCCCAGGCGCCCTGCGCAGCGAGAGCCAGTGTTCCAGGAGCGGCTAGACACCTGGGCTCAAGTCTGTGCTTGCCCACACCGCCACAGTTCCCAGCTGAAACCCGCGGAGAGAGCCAGGTATTTCCCAGCTACTCCCTGAGGGCAACGCGTGCATCCGGACCCCACCGC